CTGTGCAGTTGGGGGTATCAATGGGGGGTTTATGGAGGCTGAGCAGTTGGGGGTATCAATGGGGGGGTATCAATGAGGCTGTGCAATTGGGGGTATCAATGGGGGGTTCATGGAGGCTGTGCAGTTGTGGGGTGCCCTGGGGGGACACCAGGGTGCTCATTCCCTCTCTCCCGCACCGCCCGCAGGCCCCGCGCTGCCGCTCGCTCCCGGCGCTGCTCCGGTGACAGCGACTCCTCGGCCGCCTCGGCGCAGAGCGGCCCCCGCCGCCCCCCGGCCCGCCGGGACCCCGCGGAGCCGCCGGCCCCGGGCTCGCCCCGCGCCCCCCGCAGCCCCGGGCGCGGCCCCGCGCCGCTGCTGCTCATCCGCCGCCGGCCCGACGGGCAGCACTCGTGGGCACGGCCCGAGTCCCCCGCGGGGAGCCCCGGGGCGCGGCGCGACCCCCGGCCCGGCCCCGGGGACCCCGAGGAGCTGGCGCGGAGGCTGCGGGCGCCGCGCTGGCTGGAGCCCGGGCAGGAGCAGCGGCTGTTCCAGCGGCTGGAGGAGGAATTCCTGGCCAACACGCGGCTGCTGGAGCAGCTGGGGGACACGGAGAGCCCCCCCCCCGCGCCCCCCGCCGCCGCTGACTCGGCCTATTGCTCCTCCTCATCCTCCTCTTCCTCCCTGAACGTCTTCGCCAAGCACGGGCTGCCCGCCGAGGACGGGCGGCGGGGCGGGGGCAGCGACGGGAACAACAACGGGAACAACACCGGGAACCACGGCGGGTGCCCCCCGCTGCCGTCCGACCCCACCGTGGCGGATGCGCGGCGCCGCTCCACCTTCTCCAGCTCCTCCGACGAGAGCTGCTGCTTCCCGGCCTCCTGGGACAACCGGGAGACCGCGGGGAACCCCGGCTCCGACACCGACTGGGCCACCGGGGACGACGAGCTGATGGAGACGGAGGAGAGCCCCGGGCCGGGGGTCCCCGCGGCCCCGCCGCGGGCCTGGGCCAAGCCCCGGCTGGACACGCAGCCCCACAAGACGCCCTCCCGGATCCCCACGCCCCGGGGGTACGGGGCGGGCGCCCAGCGGGCCCCCAACGGCAGCCCCAGGGCCTGGGGGGCTGTGCAGAGCATCCCCTCCCTCCTGGAGAACCCCTGGGCCCCGCGGGAGCGCCAGGGGCTGGAGGAGAACGCGTGGCCGTGAGGGGTCGATGGCCCTGGCAGCCCCTGGGGACATCCCCGAGCTGCTGGGCAGGGTGGAGGTGGCACCTGAGTGGGGACACCCGGCCCGGCGATGGCCACAGAGCTGGGGTGGCCAGGACCTCTGCACTTGGTGACTGTTGGCATTGGGGTGGGCCCCGCAAGGAGCCCCCAGCCCCAGCCAGGCCCAAGGGTGCCGGGGTGTCCCCATGCCCTGGGAGCAGCTCCCCAGGAGGGGCCAGCGCGTGCTCCGGGCAGTGGTGGCCAGAGCAGAGCTGGGAATGGGGCTGGAGAGCACCCGGTTCTTCTCCTCCTGGGCTCTTCATCCTCAGTCTTCTCCACTTGTTTTCTTTATCGTAACCTTCTCATCTTGTCTTCTCCTCCTTTTCTTGCTATTCTTGTCATCCTCCTCCTCATCTCTCTCCTCTTCTTTTGGGCTGCCTCCTCCTTCTCTTGTCTTCTCTTCTCCTCTTGGCTTTCACATCCTTTTCCCTCATCATCTTCCCCTCTTCATGGCCTCATCATCACTGCCTTGGCCATATTCACCTCTCCACCCCTGAGACGACTCGGGGACATGCAGTTTGTCACCACAAGCCCTATTTCAGGGCAGGAGAAGGTCCCCAGCTGGCCCCAGCACCGCTCACAGCTCGTGTTGATGTCCCCAGGGTGGGACAGGGCTGTGCCCCCAGCCCAGGCCACCGTGGCCCCCACCCCTGCATGTCCTCTCCAGCCAGTAAAGACCAACGGAGCTGAGCCCACCACGTCTGGTCATCTGTGCAGGGGGATTCAGGCTCCCAGGCCCAAGGGAGGGAGGCTCTGGGGGTCCCAGGAGGGGTGGGAGCAGTGAAGAGCTGAGCTGAGGCCGAGTGCCAACGTCCTGTACCCCTTATAGCCACTGGGACCCCTCCAGAGGTGTCCTGGAGCCCAAAGTGCCCCGTGGCCAGGGACCTTCACCTCAGGGCTGCTGGCCCAGGGGGACACGGCAGCTGGTGGCTCCCCAGGAAGGTCCAGACCTGCTGGTGGTGACCACCCTGCTGTGACTTTGGGGGCTCCAAAGCAGGGTGGCCACTGTGGTCCCCGGACACCAGCTCTGGCAGTGTGGTGCTGGTGGCCCTTGGGGTGTCCCAGAGCAGCACCAGTGATTTGTGGCTTGTCACAGAGCAGGACTGGGTGGTGCTGCTCATCACCCACCCCACAGGGACCAGCAGCAGCTCCTGAGGACCCCACGCTTGTCCCCAACCCCAGGAGGGGCTCAGGGCACCCAGACTGGACACCACGTAGGGTGCAGGGCCACCTTGGTTGTGGATCCCTGGGAGGCTCCAGGAGCAGAGCCAGGAGCTCTCCAGGCCCATCCTGTCCCCAGGGTGTGACTGGCCCCGTGTCCCTGGTCCCAGGCCCAGCCCTGCCCATCTGCTGTGTCAGGCCTTGCCGTGCCAGAGGCCAGGGGGCCACTGGCCCCAGCGAGGGCTTATCTGGCCCTGCAGTGCTGGCAGGAAGCTCCCAGGCTCCTGCTTCCCTCGGGGTCACCGGGCCACGGCCACCACGGCAGTGTCCCCATGGTCTGCTGTCACCTTTAGTCAACAATCCCTAACAACCACTGAACATTACAATATATTTATCTTTCATATATTAGAGATTTCCTGCTTCGAGGGAGGGGGGGACCCATGGCTTGATTTGGGGGGAAAAGGAGCAGTGGGACCCCCAGGGGAGCACCCAAGGGTGCTGGGGGGGAGCAGAGGGAGCCGTGGGGCTGGGCTGGGGGAGAGGGGATGCTCAGAGCCCTCCTGGCCCCCTGGCAGGGGCTGGAGGGGGCTGGAAAAGCCCTTTTTAAGCTGCACCTTAAGGACAGCCTCAAATTTGGGATCCTCGAGCCCTTCTGGGAGCTTTGGGAAGGGCTCCCGTGGGAAGGAGATGCTCTGTGAAGGGCTCCCCCACAGCTCTGCTGAAGCAGGGCACCAAACCAGGGAGAGCCAAAGCTGTCTCCCACCTGCCCCAGCCCCAAATCCCAGGGCTCCAGGGGGCTCTGCAGCCACAGCCACCGAATCCCACGGCACTCTGGGCCCCCCCAGCCACTATTCCCAGGGTTTGGAATGCTGAACCCACCACCAGACAGCACGCCATGAGAACCAGGAGCTGGGGTTTTGGGGAGCCACAGGGTGGAACTGGGATCTGGAGGGAGCAGCAGCAGCGAGGAGGAGGACACAGCATCACTCACAGACTGCAGGGATTGCTGCAGGGACTGGGGACAGCCCCCTGCCCCCTCTGCTCCCCCCAGCCCCCCGGGACAGGAAGGAAAGGGGACATGCACACGGATCCGGCCCTGCTCCCTCGGGCGGGAAAGGGAGGGGAGGAGGAGGAGGAGGAAGAGGAGGAGGGGCTGCAGCAGCACCTCAGTTCTTCAAGATGGTCTCGTAGGCTTGGTAGATGTACTGGGACACCTCTGGTGCTCGGCATTTCAGGGATAACTGTGGGGAGAGAGGGAAGAGCGGGGTCATGGCATCCCACCCCACGCTGGAGAGCCACCAGCCCCAAAGCAGAGCCCTGCATGCTGCAGCACCCTCCCACGGGGCAGTCCAGCTCCTGGTTTCAGCTGGAAAAAGGTTATTAAACTCCTGCAAGCCCTCCCAGGGCAGAGCCAGCCACATGCAGCACAGGCAGGGAACAGGCAGGGGCAACACTCCAGCTTTTGGGATTGGATTCAGTGCCTGGCACTCCAGGGTGAAGGGTTCCCCAAAAACATCCTCCTCTCCAAAGATGAACGAGCCCCTTCAGGTGTTTGTAACATTCGAAAATCAAGGAGCTTCTCAAGCAGGGAAAGCTCATGGAGAATCCTCTGGGATAAGGATTTTCAGCTATCCTCATCCCCAGTGAAACCAGGAGGGCGATGGGGACATCCCAACCCTCTGAAACATCCCCCTCTTTGTGCCAGCCCTGCTGGGAAGGAGAGGCAGGAGGCACCAGGAGGCTGGCAGGGCAGGGAAAAACATCGGGGCTGGGGGGAGGAATATCCAGGCAGCAGCCAGGGAGAGCCCAAAGCCAGGGAAAAACCAATCTCTAACCTCCAAATCCTGCAAGGGTGGGCAGGCCGGCGAGGGCGGGCGGTGGAGACACAGAGAGAGGAGTCAGGGTGACACAGCTCCTCCCTCCCCAGGGGCTGCCAGGGAGGTGGGGAGGGGGGACAGGGGCAGCGGGACATGGGGATGGCTCATGGATGAGGTGTGGATTGATCCCTGCTCAGGGAATGCTCCGAGGACAGCGTTTCACGGAGCTGGCTGGGCTGGGACCCCGCCGTGTCCTTCAGCTGTGCCCACGGGAGCAGTGCCACCCTCCCCACGAGACAGGGACAGCGGGGCTGGCACCAGCACCACCAGCAGCTGGGGAGGTGCCAGGGACGTGCCCCCCAGCCCCAGGAGGGGATGGGATGTACCGTGAAGCTGGGGTTGCTGGGCTGGATCCGGAGCTCTGCCAGCACCCAGATGCCGTTGGTGAGCTTCAGGGACTGGTAGAGCATGTCCTGCCCCTCCACGTTCCTCTTGGCAATGGTGAAGATGTTGCTGCCTTGGAGTTTGCTGCTCACGGCATCTGGGATGGGAGGGAGAGGCTGAGGGGCTGGGCTGACCCCCTGCTCCCCTTGGACCTGCTTCTGCCCCATCTCCTCCCCTCCTTGTCATGGAAGAGGCTTTCACTGGGTATTAGGGACTAAGGGGAGATTTCTTCATGGAAAGGATGGCACAGCTGCCCAGGGCAGTGCTGGAGTCCCCACCCTGCAGGGATTTAACAGCCGTGTGGCACCTGGGGACAGGCTCAGTGAAGCGTGACCCAGGCAGGTCCTTCCGAGGGGGTGGGACCCACCTGCGTTGAGGGAACAGTCTTTGATCTGGAACTGGGTCTCGTTCTCGTTGGGCATGTCCTTCCAGGTGGCCAGGAACATCTGCCTCTCTGCAGGGAGGGAGGACACCAGCACTGAGGGAGCTGCCAGAGTGGCCACCACCAAAGGTGACACAACACAGGTGACACGGCAGCCAAGGTATGTCACCCTGCCACCTGCTCCAGCAGGCTCAGGGCAGCCACCTGCTTTGGGGGGCTCACCCAATGCGATCAAGAAGGCTCCAGGGGCTGGGATGGCACCTGGGGACAGGTGACAGAGCACACCTCGCTGGAGCCACGGTCACCCCACTCACCCATCTTGCCGTCCTCCACGAACAGGATGTGCAGGGGGTACAGGGTGCTGAAGTAGAAGACGTCAATGTTGTTCTTCACTGCCACCTGGGGTGGAAGGACACGGGGATTTCAACACCTCCAATCCACAGCAGGTTCCCAAAATGTCCCATCCCATCTCAAAATGTCCCATCTCATCCCGAAATGTCCCATCCCATCCTCATCCCCCTGGAGCCAGGTGTCACTGCAGCAAGCACCTGGCTCCTGCTGCCACACCTCCCTCTGGATTTCTCCAGGGGACCCTGCCCCGTCCCCAGCTCCCCAGGAGGGGACAGCCCCATGTTGCCCACCTGGAGGTTGTTGAGGGGCTCCATCTTCATGACGGAGCCCACGGTGTTGAGGGGCAGGGAGATCTCCACGGACTGGTTGGGAGCCAGAGGTGCGTGCACCTGCAGAGGAGCTGCTGGGGCCAGGCCGAAGCTGGGGGACACCAGGGAGGGCAGGGGGTCAGCGTGGGGACAGCAGGGGATGGCACAAGGCACTGTCCATCCATGCCTGGAGCTCCCTGCCTTCCTCCACGGGCACCCCAGCAATCGCCTTGCTGCCCCTGCAGTGTTCAGGACGGGGCTGGTTCCTGCCCTGCCCACCCTGGGGTAACCCCAAATCTCCCCCTTCCTCCTCCACCCACGGGTAGCATTCCTGCAGCATTCCCTCAGTGCCTCTGAGGGCAAAGGAAGCATCGGTTCCCCAGGACAACCAAGAGGACAGTGGTCAGATCCTGCGGAACAGCCTCTTCAGCCAACTTCTTAGAGGCTTTGGTTTGGTGCTCATCACCACCACAGCCATCAGAGAGAGAAGGGTCATCACCAGAGGCTGTTCCCAGCCGTGCAGCTCCTTCCTCACACCCTTTTCCACACAAACCTGCTCTGGGCAGCGTCCCCACGGGCCCCAGGTGGGGCTCACCTGTTGCGGTTGAACTGGATGGCAAAGTCAGACATGACCTGCAGGGCTTTGTTGGTCAGCACGAGGTCCATGGAGATGGAGCCCACCTGGCGGCTGAAGGTGCCAGAGATCTCCAGCCCCTTGGCTTTCATGGCAGGGAGCCACACCTGGGCCAGGAGACAAGGAACCCTTGGGGTGTCACCCAAAGCAGAGCCCCTGGTGCTCCCCCACCTCCCTCCAGGGGGGCTCTGCTGTGGGGGGTGGGCATGGGGGTCTGTGCCCCCCTTAACCCCGAGCCTGGCTGCCCCACTCACCGTTTTGGGGGCCACGTAGGATCCCGAGAGGGTCCCCACCCCACCGGTGAGGTCGAAGAGGTCACCCAGGCCGCTGCCAAGGGGGGCCCCCACGTTTGTGGGCGCCGTGGTGCTGGGAGCTGGTGTGAAGCTGCCACCGCTGCCACCCATCTGTGGGGACAAGGCAGGGGTTAGGGGGCACCACGGGGACGACGACAGGAGGAGGAAGAGGAGGAAGAGGAGGAGGATGCAGAGAATGAGAGGGTTTGGGTGTGAGGGCACACTCACAGCAGGGCTGCCTCCCACATCGCTGCGCAGCTGCAAGAGAAGAAAGGGGCATCAGCAGGGGCAGGGCTGAGGGCAGGGGACAGGGGTCCCCAGAATGTCCCCTCTGACACTCCCTGGAAGCAGCAGTGCGGGGCAGCAAGGGCCTGGAGTCAGGATGCTCCAGTGGTCCCAGACCAGGAGCTGTGAGGGGCCATGGCTGTCCCCAGAGGGATGTGAGGTGTCACTGGGGCTGGGGGCAGCAGGGACAGCCAGGGGTGGGCACGAGGCTGGGCAGAGGGTGATCCATACCCCTTCCGACTCGTCCCCCATCTCCAAGCAGAAGCAGGCAAGGTGGAGAGAAGAGCCAGCCACATGCAGAGAGAAGCCAGCAGAGAAGAGACAAAAAAGGAGAGAGAAGAGAAGGGGAGGAGAGGACAGAGGTTAGTCCTGACACATCTGTCTGGCTGTCCATGCCTGTCCTGGAGCCAGGGGACAGGGCCAGACCTCATTCCCAGCCTCAGTGCCAGCCCATCACCAATCCCCGGGAGCCACAAGGTGCCAGGGCAGCACTTGCAGGGTTACAAAACAGGAAAGGCAACGATGCTGCCTCCCCTTGGCATAAACCTGCTGGATTTCATGAGTCATGGAGGGAACTCCAAACTCTATTCCTTCAGGGAGCCTGGCCCATCTCCAGCACCCCCAGGGCAGGTGTTCCCACACAGGGAGAGGTTTCCATCCCACCTCACCCCGGGGCCAAAGCACTGCTTGGCCTGCATTCCCAGGAGGGCACGGACAGGGGACATCCCACAGGCCACGAGTGGCCACATCCCAGTTTGGGGTTCAGAGAGGAGTCCCCAGGAGCAGCCAGTCCTGCAGCACAGCACATGGAGTGGGAACACCCACACCAATGGAGAGAAAAGGCACTGGGAAGTGGTGGGTGGAACCCCTCCAGTGGCTAATGGCAGGATAAATGAGGGCGCAGTGCCCTCTGTCCTCACCCGCTGCAGGAAAGGACCTGCCCAGATGTCCCCATGCTGACAAGTCTGTCCTAGCCCAGGGCAGCCCAGACCAGAGCCAGCACCCAGCCCAGCAGGATGCCAATGGGACAGCCTGGAGTGAGGGAAGGAGCACGGGAGCTGGGACGTACCAGGCTGTCCCCGAGGAGGTCCACGGCGCCCATCTGCACGGTGGAGGTGGCCATGGGTGGCCCGCTCACTGGGGGGCCCAGGTCCAGGTTGAGCAGGTCCCCCAGCAGGTCCCCCTGCGTGGGGATGACAGAAGGCTGATCTGCTGCTGGCCCCCCCGACGGGGCTGTGTCCGGGCTCTCGGCACTCTCGCTCCTGAAGGGAATGATGGGACAAGGTGAGGAGCTCCAGCTGGGACAGGAGCTCCCACTGCAGACAGGAATTGGCCAGATGAACCCTCCATCCCATCCTGGCTGCCAACACTTCAATGGCAAGGAAGACCCCCTCCGTGCCATCCTGGCTCCCAACACATTCCCATAGAGATCGCTGGGAATCACTTGGGAATCTCTACAACCCCAGTGGAGATCACTTCCACTGGGATCACTCCTTCAGCATTTTAAGGCCACGGTTGAAGCCACACAGCCCTGCTCTTACAGAACCTCCCTTGGGGATGGGAGGCTCAGCTCTGAACCCAACACATCCAACAGCAGCCCCACATCCAACCCCTCCATCCACAGCCCTGGAAATCCCAGCACGGGGAGGGGCCACGGGAACACTCACGAGCCCGTCCGTGGGGGCAAACTCTTGTGCACGACGCCCCTGCTGCCCTCCACGAAGGCGCTGGGGGGTTTGTGGTACACCGAGGCCAGGGTCCCGATGTAGCAGATGAGCTCGTCCAGCAGCGTGGGCTCGATCAGATCCGTCTCCTCCGAGATCAGCGGCTTCTCGGCCAGCACCACCTCCTTGGCGGCCACGGGGTCCGTGGACAGCAGGCGCCAGTAGATGTACCCACGGTCCCGCAGGTCCGGGTTGTCCGAGTCCTTTGGGAAGCCAGCGGGAAGCTGCAGCTGCTACAGAGCTGCTCAGAGCAACTGCAGCTATTGAGGAGCTGCTCGGAGCAACTGCAGCTATTGAGGAGCTGCTCGGAGCAACTGCAGCTGCTACAGAGCTGATCAGAGCAACTGCAGCTGCTACGGAGCTACTTGGAGCAAGCACAGCTACTACAGAGCTGCTCAGAGCAACTGCAGCTGCTACAGAGCTGCTCGGAGCAAGCACAGCTGCTACAGAGCTGCTCAGAGCAACTGCAGCTACTACAGAGCTGCTTGGAGCAACTGCAGCTACTACAGATCTACTCAGAGGAACTGTAGCTACTATGGAGCTGTTCAGAGCAACTGTAGCTGCTGTGGAGCTGCTTGGAGCAACTGCAGCTACTACAGAGCTACTACAGAGCTACACAGAGCAACTGCAGCTACTACAGAGCTACTCGGAGCAACTGCAGCTGCAACGGAGCTGCTCAGAGCTACTGCAGCTACTACGGAGTTGCTCGGGGCAACTGCAGCTACTGAGGAGCTGCTCAGAGCTACTGCAGCTACTACAGATCTACTCGGAGCTACTGCAGCTACTACAGAGCTGCTCAGAGCAACTGCAGCTACTGAGGAGCTGCTCAGAGCTACTGCAGCTACTACAGAGCTGCTCAGAGCTGCTTTCCCCACCCAAGCCACGCCTGGAGGGATCGCAGGGACCAGAGGCCACAGGGTGCCTCCTGAGCCATGGGCGTGCCCACACCCTCCAGGGATGGAGGGACAGGACAGAGGGAATGGCTCCCCTGTGGTTTTGAGCTGTGTTAATGAGTCTTTGAGGAATTTTGGTGGAATTTTGTGGTGATTGACTGGTTGAGAGGCAGAGTTATGGGTGCTGTTGAAATGGTTAAGGGAAGTTATGGATATGGGAAAATTGGTGTTGAGTTTGGGTGGGTTGTTGGTGTTTGAGAGGGGCTGGGTAGGGAAAGGAGACCCTGCCCATCTAACCCCTGCCAGAGGCAAGGCTGGATGGGAGATTGGGAATTTGGAATTGTTCCCTGGGAGGGTGGCAGGCCCTGGCACAGGTGCCCAGAGCAGCTGTGGCTGCCCCTGGATCCCTGGCAGTGCCCAAGGCCAGGCTGGACGGGGTTTGGAGCAGCCTGGGACAGTGAAAGGTGTCCCTGCAGGCTGGAACAAGAGGATCCTTAAGGTTCCTCCCAGCCCAAACCATTCTGAGCCAAGCCCCAGTTACCTGCCTGCTGTCACACCACCAAGCCATTCCCACTTCCCAGGGGATGGGAAGCCCTGGGAAGCTCTCCCAGGTGGGACCCACCTGTGTGGCCAAGCTCAGCACCTGCTGCACCAACTCCTGTGTCTCCGTGGGCTTCTTCAGGAATAGCTTCACGATGGCTGTCAGCAGCTGCAGCTGGACCTGTGGGGGACAGACAGACAGACAGGTCACACCGGGTTTTTGCAGGAACACACGGATTTGCCCCAGGAGCTAACCCCAACCTGCCTTTCAAGGGACCAAAGGCATGGTGACCACGTCAGTGGCAGTGTCACCTGTCAGGACACCCACCTGGCCCCTTCCCAGCCCCTCTCCACACCCTCAGACACAGGCTGACCCCAACATTATGGGGCAGCATCTTGGGAGCAGGTAACGTGGCCCCACAGGGCACAGGCCAGAGCATCCTCTGCCTTCCACATGGAAAAGCAGCAGGAATTCCCCTCCCAGCCTCTCAGGGAGTCTGGATCTCTGGCTTTGCTACTTAGCATTTGTAGACTTTGCCCTGTTCGCTGTCACTTGGTTACAAGGTGTTTTGCAGAGTTTTCCAGAGTTGGAAACTCTCCAAAATTCCACCCTCTGGCCTCAGTTGCCCTGGGCAACAGGGCAGGCACTGCTCCCTCTGCTCGTTTTCCAGCTCCAAAGGGATCTTTGCTGGCACAGTGGGATAACCAGGTCACTGCCTGGTGCCAGCCATGAAATAGGGAAGGCACTTGGGACAAGGCCATGGTGGCACTTCACAGAACCATGCAACAGTTGGGGCTGGAAGGGACCTCAAACCCCATCTTGTTCCTCCTGGAGCACTTTCCACTCTGCCAGGTTCCTCCAAGCCTGGGCCCCATCCTACAGCCAAACCTGCCCCAAGCACTGCACGAACAATCCCTTCAGAGCAAACTGCGCCCTGCTCCACCGAGCAGGAGCTGTGTGACAGTGCCACCCTGAGCCAGCAGTCCCCCTGGCACACCTGGGTGCTCTCATCATGGAAGCCCTCCAGGAAGCTCTCCAGCAGCTCGTCGGCGTTGTCGATGCGCTCGGCGTATTCCCCCACGATCCAGATCATGGCAGCCCTGGCCTCGGGCTCGTCCAGGGAGTCCAGGTTCTCGCAGAGCGTGGCGATCACGCTCTCATACCTTCCCGAGGGAGGACAGAGAGCAGGAGAAAGCTCACCCAGAGCAGGAGACCCGAGTCCTGACCCCAAACTCCAACCACGTCCTGCTGCCCACAGCAGAGCTGTGGCTGAGGGTGCCCTGCCTGGGGCTGGCCCCTGGCCCCATGGGCAGTGCCCACACCGATCCCAGAGCACATTCCCTGCTCCTGAATGAACCAAGCTGCTCTGCTCATTACCAATTCACCTCATTAGTATTTATTACCACTATTAGTCCCTGACTTCCTGATTACAGAGTTGCCTATTCATCCTGGCTCAGCTGGAACATTCCCTCCCCTCTCCTCTCCTCCTGCTGCCCTTGTTCCAGCATCAGGACCTGGACTGAGAGCCAGGGAGAGTTTTTGCTGACACAAGGGCCCTGCACATCCCTGGCAGCTCCCCTGCCTTTCAGTGCCTGGATCTGGGACTGTCACCATCCTGGGGCTGGGGACAAAAGATTCCCAAAGCCACCCTTGCTGGGGGGGAGGCTCCGGGGGCTTCATCCCACCAAGGGTTTGTGGCTCCTCAAGCACAGAGTGGAGGGAAGAGCTGGTGTAGGGCCGGGAGCATCCCAGGGAATCCACATCCCAGGAATCCCCACGCACTTGTTGGGGTACTTGCGGAAGATGTCCTTGATGACCACGATGGCCTCCTGCACCACGTAGTTGACCTTGGTCTGGATGAGGTCCAGCAGGGTGCTGACACAGCGCTCGGCCGATTGCTGCCAGAGGGACTCGGTCACACAGGGACAGACCCCCCCCCACATCCCAAACACCCCCCAAACCCAGCCCACAGCAGAACGGGGGACCCTGAGCATGGTCTGCCCTTCACATCCCAGTGTGGCTCCTCCTCATCCTCTCTGCACGTTCCCATGGGCTCCTCTCTCCCCATGGGAAGTGTTCTAACCATGCAGAGCCACCTTTCCAGGGAGGGTTTTAATAATCCCCTTTGGAAAATTAGCCCCACAGGGAAGCAAAGCCTCTGAGCAACCCCTCACAAAGGGATGGATTCCCCCCCAGCCCCTCGGGAAGGGATTGGCTCATGCCAGCCTCTTGCAAAATGACTGGGACCTTCCCAACCGCCAGGAAGGGATCAGCTCCCTCCCAGTCCCCATGAAGGGATCAGCTCCCTCTCCTAGCCCCCAGGAAGGGATCAGCTCATTCCCAGCCCCCAGGAAGGGATCAGCTCATTCCCAACCCCCAGGAAGGGATCAGCTCCTTCCCAACCCCCAGGAAGGGATTATCTCCCTCCCAGCCCCCAGGAAGGGATCATCTCCCTCCCAGCCCCCAGGAAGGGATCAGCTCATTCCCAGCCCCCTGGGAAGGGATCAGCTCCCTCCCTGCCCCCAGGAAGGGATCAGCTCCCTCCCAGTCCCCATGAAGGGATCAGCTCCCTCTCCTAGCCCCCAGGAAGGGATCAGCTCATTCCCAACCCCCAGGAAGGGATCATCTCCCTCCCAGCCCCCAGGAAAGGATCAGCTCATTCCCAGCCCCCAGGAAGGGATCAGCTCCCTTCCTAGTCCCACTCTGGTCCCCAACAAGCCACTGGTATCACCACTGCATCCCTGGCCCTGTTCTAGGCAGGGATCCCAGAGCAGTTCCAGTTGCAAAGGATAAGGGGATGGAAGACCCTCCTGGCACCCCACTGATCCCTGTGAAACAACCATGGCTCATCCCCATGCCTGGGAAGGCTCCAACTTGCAAATTCCTGGGATGAGATGGTCACCACGTCCTGGAAAGTGCCACCCTGCCCACCCACAGGTGCCACAAGGCCCTGCCATGACCCAGCCCTCACCTCCACCTTGATGGCACAGCGGCCGATGGCTCTGACCGCCTTCCTGACAAAATCCACATCCACCTCCGTGGCGTATTCCTTCAGCTCTGCCAGCACCTGAGGGGTGGCACAGCACAGTGAGGGCCTGGCAGGAGGGCACAGGCACCAGGAGAGGGGCACAGCACAGTGAGAGCTGGCACAGGCACCAGGAGAGGGGGGCAGTGACCCAGCACAGCAGGCAGGGTGGGACAGCCGCTCCCTGCAGAGCTGGGGCTGGCACCAGGGTGCTGGCAGCCCTGGGTGCCCCAGCCCAGCTCCTGACCTGGGCTATGTTGGCCTGGGAGGCCAGGCGGATCATGATGTCCAGTTTCTCCAGTTTGACGTAGATGGGGTCGTTGTACTTGACAAAGAACACCTTCATCTCGTGCTTCAGGATCTCAGGCCTGGGGCAGCGAGAGACAGCGTTAGGGGGGACAGGCACTCACTTCCACCCCAATCCCGAGCTTTTGGGGGACTATTCAATGCCAAGGAATCCAAGTCACCGTGGTTATCCCCCAGGATTCTGTCCCTTGGCTCCCCTTTGCTGGCACGTAGGGAACAGAGCACAACTTTGCTACACACACAGGACAGACGTGAGGCAGCAGGGGACGTTTGTCCTGCCAAGGCTGGAAGGGACGTTTTAGTGGGAGCAGGGACACAAATTCAGACCCCAGGGCTAGGCTGGACCTTTCTCACCAGCTCTCTCTCTCTCAAAGCTGAGAAAGAGCTAGGCCAGGTCTAGCTCCAAGCTGCCTTCCACATTCCCATTCCCAGGTGTGGGAATCCAGGGCTTCCCTCTGGCTGCCCTGGCAGGTCTGGGACCCTGGCAGGGGTCAGGAACCCCCCTGGACAGAGCCCCCAGAGACACTGGCTGTGATCTCTGCCCATGGAAAAGAGTTTTCAATCTTACAAGGTGAATTACCAGCTCTGAGTGTTTGAGATAAGTAATAATTAAGTGTGGCATGGGTGCAAAAGTAAAATTTTAGGATTCTAGATGAGGGGTCCAAAGGGGACAAGCTGGAGGAAATTGGGTGTGCCTTGTCCTTTTTCTCCTTCTTCGTGCCCTCCATGTCTCACTGTGGTGTTGGCATTTTTCTGTTGGCTCAGGCTGGGGACACACTGTCCAACGTAGGTGACAGATATTGGCACGTTCTTGTAAATGCAGCCCAGGGAGTTTCTGGTATTTAATGTTTGTCACATCCCACTGAGGGCAGAGCCCCACACGCTGCCCTGCAGGACAGAGCTGGGCAGGGCAGCAGAACATGTGAGAGATAAACAGAATAAACAACCTGGAACCAGCACAGACCAATTATGGCTTCTGCTTTGGCAGCGGGGCTGACAGACAGAGACTTTCTACAACCTCAGGATCATCAATACCACAGATTCCGACACACAGGGACACTAATTGCTTTCCACTTCTCCCAGAAATTGCTGCTATTTTTAAGAGGCGACCACGGCGCTGACTGGGAGGAGAACAAATCATCTGACTGGGCTGGGGCTCTCCAGCTGCCACTCCTGCTCCAGGCACACGTGTGGGGCTACTCAGCCACCTCCAGGATTTTAGATCAGCAAAGAGACAAAAGGACTCTGAGCATTTGTTCAAAGAGGACAACTGTGGAGAAGGCAGCTGGCAGCACAAAAATCCCTCCCTAGACACGGAGTGACTACTCCAAAATCTCACAGCTTTTGGCTTTGCCATCCTTTGCTGCCCCAAATAAAGAATAAATTAAACTAAAGGATACATTAAACTGGATATCCCAGCTTAGCTCCCTGCTCTTTCCCTCCCCTGACTGACTCAAGGCCAGGCTGGACAAGCCTTGGAGCAACCTGATCTAGTGGAAGGCATCCGCTAAATGAGCTCTAAGATCCCTCCCAACCAAACCATTCCATAATTCCATGACTCTCCTTGGATTTTAAATAACAGAGAAGAAAAAACACCCTACAGGATGTGCTGTGACACTGCTGCAGTCAGAGGGATTGAAGCACCTGTGGCTAGGAGGGGACACCTGGACACACCCACCTCTTCTGCACGATGAGGTTGATGTTGCGGAGGGCCACGTACTGCAGCTCAGGCTCTGCAGACAGCAGAGTGACCAGTGGTGGGGCCAGCTTCTTCAGGAGAGTGCCATAATAATCCAGGTCCTTGGACAGCATCTCCATGAACTTCATCAGCACCTTGACAGCCGACAGCACCACGGCAGAGTTGGCGTGGGACAGCCGCGGCGTCACCCGCTCGCAGATGCTGCAAGGAGGGAAAGGAAATGATCCCAACCCTTCCTCCTGCTGAAAAACTCCTGCCAGCATGGAGGAAGGACTTGCAGGAAAGCTGAGCAGCACTTGGGACTTTCCCAAAGAGGCTGAGCTGGCTCCTGAGTGCCCCAGTGAAGGTTATTCCCCAGGCCCTGCAGAACCCTCTGGCAGTGACCCCATTTCGGAGCTCCCCATTGCCACCTGCAGCCACATTTTAAGCAGCTCGAGGAGCTCAATCCCAGTGCCAGGGCTCCCTATGAGACCAGGGCAGGCTCCAGATGGCCATGCCCAAGGCACAGGTCCAGCAGATGCCCGCTGTCCCCCCTCCTGCAGCAGGGTCAGGAGGGTGAAGACTCTCCTCAGAGGAGAAGGGGCAGTGCCAGGCCGTGCCTGTCCCCTCACCTCTGTGCTTCCCGGTCATCCTTGGGCATGTAGTTTGCCAGGCAGTCCAGGATGAAGATCTGGCCCCACTCAGTGCACTCGTTGAGGGCTGTGAGCAGCTTGTTGATGGACTGGGGGTTGAGGTCCAGGAGGTTGCTGCTGGGATGAGACTCCGCTATTTCCGACAGCGCCGCCACCGCGTTGGCCACCACCTGCCAGGGGGGACAGGACACGGATTGGTGACACCAAATGTGGTGTGAGGGGAGGAGCTGCCTCCTCACTGCTAACCCCTCACATCCCACCTACATCTGGGCTCCAGCTTCCCCCTCCCCACAGCACATCTGAGGGGGATGGATGAGCCATCCCCACCGGCACGCTCCCACCGCCCACGTCGCGTCTCCAACGGCTCCCACGTGTTCCACGGACTCAGCCTTGGCTTCCTGCCCAGCTCCCTTCCCCAGGCAGCTCCAAGGAGCCCCAGAGCTTTCCACAGAGCTCCTGGGCTCAACACTACACCCAGGGTAAGACTGGAAAAGCAGGAAAGGCTGTGGGAAGAGAAACCATAGGGCAAGGCGGTTTTAAAATTCCCCATGCCTGGAGAAAGGGAAGGAAGCCAAAGCCCAGCTGCCAGGAAAACCAGAGGCAAAAGCCACTGGCTCTGTGGTATCAGAACCAAGCAGCAGCTTCCCTCTGCCCTGAGCCAGCTGGAGCATCCTCCTTCCCACTGGGAACAGAGGAATCACACACAGCCACGGGGTGGGAGAAACCCTCTGTCCAGGAGACAGTGTTATGGGGCAGGGAACACAACCTGCAGTCCTGAGAAGCAAAAACTCCCCAAAACCAGTTTGCTAACACCAAGGAGAGAATCTGGGAGGAAAGGAGCTGGACGCGAACGCGACGGGAGAGTGGTGGCTGCCGTTTGGATGAAGAGGAGGTGAAGAAGGCAAAAAGCAATCACCATGGGGTTGGAGTCTGAGATGAGATCCTTGAGGGTGTCCAGGAAGCCCTGGTCCTCCACCAGCTGGGCGTTGATGTCGTGCAGCTTGGCCACGCAGACGGCGGCCGTCTTGCGCACGTAGGGGTCCTCGTCCTTGAGGCACTTGCGCAGGGGCTCGCACAGGTACTCCGTGATCTTGTCCACACGGATGCAGCCCATGGTCCTCACAGCCAGAGCCCGGATCAGCGGGTTCGGGTCCTCACAGTCCTGCAGGGAGCACGGGAGAGGTTGGGTAGCCTGGGCTCCTCAGGTAGTTCCAGGAGGTTCAGGTCCTCCAGGAGGATTTGGGTTCAAATCTGGAGGTTATCATGTTCTGCCCTTGAGAACAAGTCACCCAAGAGATGTTTCTCTCTTGTCCTGCACCCACTGAGTTCCAACACCACCAATCCTCACGCCCAGAACTCCTCAATCCATCCAGGAATCCCATGTCCTCATCACTTACACCAGGTACCTGAACCAGCCTGATGTTGAAACACATATTGAGATTATTACGTGGGGTTTATCCTCCCTGAAAAGCCTGAACTCCCTCTAAAGCCCACCAGGCCTTTCCACTGAGTGATTTGGCAATATCCTGGTTCCTAACACACTCTTCAGATCACGAGGGATTTCTCAGCCCATAGGTTCACATGACAGCTCTCGATCATGGGAGCTGCCCACGCCCCTGACAGAGCGAGTGCCACGGGACAGCTGCCAAAAACTGAGTTTCTGCATTGCTGGACAAATTCAATCAGTTTTCTAGAGCTTGGAGAGCCCCTCCTCCAGAAGGGAGAGGCTTTGGAAAGCTGCCCACGCTCCCTGAGGTGCAGCTTGGCGCAGTGAGCTGGCACGTGGTGTCCCCTGTGGCCCCGGGACACGGAGCCCTGTCCCCTCACCTTCACGAAGGTGTTCACAGCCATGATGGCCATGTCTGGCTGGCTCTTGGCATAGTTCATCAGGTAGAGGTAGACCAGCTTCTTCAGCTCCAGGTTGTCTGTCTGCATGCAGTTCACCACGTCCGGGAAGAGAGCGCTGGAACACGGAGAGCTCGGTGAAGGCAGGGCACGGCCACGATGCCCAGGGACCCCCTGCCCGTGGATAGCCTGCTCCCAAAGGCAGGAGAACCTGCTCCCAAAGGCACGAGAACCTGCTCCCAAAGGCACGAGAACCTGCTCCCAAAGGCACGAGAACCTGCTCCCAAAGGCAGGAGAACCTGCTCCCAAAGGCACGAGAACCTGCTCCCAAAGGCACGAGAACCTGCTCCCAAAGGCACGAGAACCTGCTCCCAAAGGCACGAGAACCCAGCCCTCTCCTAGGAGGAAAGGCTAGAGGTGGTCACCTGGAGAGGAGAAGGCTCCAGGGAGAGCTCAGAGCCCTTCCAGGGCCTAAAGGGGCTCCAGGAGAGCTGGAGAGGGACTGGGGACAAGGGATGGAGGGACAGGACACAGGGAATGGCTTCCACTGCCAGAGGGCAGGGATGGATGGGATATTGGGAATTGGGAATTGTTCCCTGTGAGGGTGGCAGGCCCTGGCACAGGGTGCCCAGAGCAACTGTGGCTGCCTCTGGATCCCTGGCAGTGCCCAAGACCAGGCTGGGTGGGGTTTGAGGCAGCCTGGGACAATGGGAGGTGTCCCTGCCCAGGACCTTTTCCCACCCAAACCATTCCATGATTCCATGATTCCATGACCTGAGCCCACCCTGCAGCAGACATGGCTGAAATGCCCACCCCCAGTGGATTTTTGTAATGATCTGTATCAAAACCAGCCCTTGATGGACCAAAATTGAGCTTTCCCACATGGCTCTGCTGCATCCCTGCTCCAGGGCACATCCACTGCCCCGGGAGAAGGTGCTGCACAATCCTCTCAGGCACAGGCTGGGGTTGTTGGGGTGTCCTGTGCAGGGCCAGAAGCTGGACTGGATGACTCTTGTGGATCCCTTCCAACTCAGGATATTGCAGGATTTTATGCATCATCACAGGATGGTGCCAGGGTGAGTCTGGAGCACCAGGATACTCTGCTGGGATGGAGGGGAATGCAGTGGGATCTGCCTGCACAGAGCTGGGGCTTCCCCTTCCCAAGCACCCTGGAGCTGTGGGGCACCAGAGATGCTGTTTCATCCAAAGACAGACCAATCAGACAATTAAACCACCTCAGGGGAGGCAATCAAGATCCCAGGGCTAACACAGGGGTTATTCCACCCTGACAGATGTCCTAAGGCTCCTGGGAGCTTCTCCACCTCCTCAAACCCGGCCAGCCCTGACAGGATCAAACCCAGAGCCCCCCTAAATCCAGGGAACTGGGTTTTGCAAAGCTGCTCCCCACCTGGGCTGGTCTCAACCCTGGCTAAACCAGGCTCTGCTGGCACCTCCTGGGGAGCAGAGAACTCAGCAAACTGCTTCCCTGCAGCCTGAAACAGGCACACACCAAAAAAATGGGCTGACACAACCACAGGATCGTGGAATGGGTTGGGAATCATGGAACCTTTAAGGTTATCAAGTTCTACCCCATGCCATGGCAGGGACACCCTCTACTATTCCAGGTGGCTCCAAGCCCCATCCAGCCTGGCTTTGGGCACTGCCAGGGAACAATTCCTAATTCCCAATATCCCATCTAAACCCCTTTTAGCTTAAAGCCATTCTCCTTTAGCCTGTCACTACTTGTCTATGTAAAGAGCTGTGCTCCCTCTTTTTTTAAGCCCCTTCAAGTACTGGAAGCTCCTGCCATTTCCATGTGATTTCCACAGTGGTCCCAAGACAGACACTCCCTGCTGCTCTGGGAGCCAGGGATGCCCCAGTTCTCCCAAGCCTGAGTGTGTTTTCCCTCCATTTACTCTCAAATCCACCATGAAAATCAAATTGCTGATGCTGCCTGTGCTGGGGCAGGTCCGTGCAGGAAAAGGCACGGCAGGAGCCACGTGCAGCTCAGCCAGATGGAAAAAAGGAAGCAGGAACAGCAGCAGCTGCCTGACCTTTTGGACTGGAGAGGCTGCAAAGGGTTTATCAGCATCCAGGCACCGCCACCAAGCCTCCGAGGGGGTCCTGCTTGTTTTTAGTAACACACAAAGGAAGTGGAAATAATCCCAACAAACTGATCTGGCAGCCAGACCAATCCTCTTTTAGGCAGATTACAGCAAAAGCCAGGAGAGCCCCCACCTGCCAGGTGGCCACGTGGACACAAACTGCACTGCAGGAGGCAGAGCTGCAGCCAGGACACACCTGGGTGAATCCCGAGGGGAAAAGCAGCATGGAAACCCCCTTGGAAGCAACAGGGGGAAAGGGAACCCAAAATCCAGCTGGGTTTGTCTTGGGTACGTGGAAGAACAGCATGAAGGAGAAACTTAGGGTAAATTTCAGGAAAAGGTTCTTCTCCAGAGGGTGCTGGCACTGCCCAGGGAATGGGCACGGCCCTGAGGCTGCCAGGCTCCAGGAGGGTTTGGAATGCCCAGGGTGGGATTGTTGGGGGTTTGGGCAGGGACAGGAGTGGGAGTGGATGATCGTGTGGGTCCCTTCCCACTCAGGACACTCCAGGCTGTAGCCCCAGCACACACCTGACATCCTTGCCCACAGTCATGGATGCAATCACTTTCTTCACAGCCTCCTTCTTCTTCTCCTTCTTGTCACTGTTCAGTTCAGCCTTCAGCTCAAATATCTCCCCTGGAAAAACAGGAAAAGAGGCAGCTGAGGGATCAGTGGAAAGGGTCCCCCACCCCTCTGCTGGGTGAGCACAGCTCCCACCTGCTGTGTGACATGGCTCCTTTGCCACCCCTGAAAAGAGGGATTTACCTTCCCAAACACCTCACTGAGGTTGGGGCTGCTCTGGGGGCTCAGCTCTTATCCAGAGGAATGGAAAATATTCACCTCCTGCTGAATCCTTGTGGCTCCTCCAGTGCCACGGGGATGGGAAGTGCTGCAGGAGCCCCCCCATGGGAACTGGATGGGGTCATCCAGAGGCCATCTCTGGCTGTGGGGGGGTTATCCCAGCCCCATGAGGCCCTACCCTTCCCAGGGATGATGGCAGGTGGATTTTGGGCACTGCTCCTCAAGGCTGTATGAAGAAGGGTGGCTGTGGGAATCCAGGGCATCCCTCTGGCTGCCCTGGCAGGTCTGGGACCCTGGCAGGGGTCAGGAACCCCCCTGGACAGAGCCCCCAGAGACACTGGCTGTGATCTCTGGCCATGGAAAAGAGTTTTCAATCTTACAGGGTGAATTACCAGCTCTGAGTGTTTGATATGAGTAATAATTAAGTGTGGCACAGGTGCAAAAGTAAAATTTTAGGATTCTAGATGAGGGGTCCAAAGGGGACAAGATGGAGGAAATTGGGTGTGCCTTGTCCTTTTTCTCCTTCTTCATGTCCTCCATGTGTCACTGTGGTGTTGGCATTTTTCTGTTGGTTCAGGCTGGGGACACACTGTCCAACGTAGGTGACAGATATTGGCACGTTCTTGTAAATGCAGCCCAGGGAGTTTCTGGTATTTAATGTTTGTCACATCCCACTGAGGGCAGAGCCCCACACGCTGCCCTGCAGGACAGAGCTGGGCAGGGCAGCAGAACATGTGAGAGATAAACAGAATAAACAACCTGGAAACCAGCACAGACCAATTGTGGCTTCTGCTTTGGCAGGGGGCTGACAGACAGAGACTTTCTACAACCTCGGGATCATCAATAGCTCAGATTCTGACAGGTGGCTCCCAAATCCCTCCCTGCCTGTGGCAGCAACCCCCCAGCCCAGGGCACCATCCCGTGCCCTCCTGAAGCCACGCTGAGCTCCTTACTCCCCTCTGGGCTGGCAGATTGAAGAGGAAGATGCCACATGGCTTCTCTCCACATTAATTCCTTGCTCTGGAGGGTGCTTAAGGCCCCGAGCGCTGCCCAGGGGAGCTCCTGAGCTGCTAAAGCTGATCACCAGCTGCCACCAGCCCTGGCTGGGCTCAGGGGGCTGGGGACAAGGTGTCCTGACCCCACAGCAGCTGCTCCAGAGCAAGGAGCAGGGTGGGATGTCAGCCACAGGGACTCAGGGCATTCCCACGGGAGCTTCCCAACCCTCCCCACGTGGTTTACAGAGGAGTAAGAACCAGCCGGTGGTTTTGGGATGAACTGGGATATTCCTGCTCCTTCCCTTACCTTTCTTGGTGGTGGTGAAGTACTTGGAGTCTGTCATGGTGGTTTCCAGCCAGCAGCACGGCCCTGGAGGAGAGGCAGAGCACAGAGGTTCAGGGCTGATAATCTCCTTGCAGGGACTGTTAGGAGAGTTCCAGAAAGGAAAAACACCAGGAGAGGAAAAGAGTTTGGGATCCCATGGGAAGAGTCACAGGGAGAAGCCCAATCCCCCAGGGAGGCTGAACACCTCACAGCTCTGTGATGATGGGGAATCAGGTGGTTCTCCACAGAGGATGTGGAGGAGGAAAGGAATCACTGAAGATTCCAGAGCTGCAGCCCTGACTTTGCTCATCCCATCCCGCACAGAGGCAGGCAGCAGGGGCTCAGTGATCCCCCTGGATTGGCCTTTCCTCATCCAAAAAACGCTTTCTTAGGGAAAACCCACACCCAGGCCTCCCTCTCACCTACACAGGGAGCAGCTCTGGGCTGGGGAGGGAACGGAGCCAAGCCCGAGGCTCAGCTCGACGGGACGGCACGGCCCAGGGGCACGGATCTGCCAGATCAAAGGGAGCCTCTTCCACAAACCAGCCCTGCTCCAGCTGCGTTGCTTTAAATTCCAAGGGGGTGAGGTTTCAGCCCAGCACTTGAGGTTCCATCATGTAATTCAGGCAGTTTAGGGCAGATTTAGGGCTTGGCAGGCTGAGGAAGGAGACATGCAGCCCTTCAGAAAGGTCAGTGGGGATTTGGCTTTTATGGCTGGTTTTCCCATCTTTCTTTCAACAGGGAGGGAACCAGAGGCTTGTCCTTGAAAGCCTGTAGTGGCCTTGCTGTTTCAGAGGGGCAGGAATACAGGAAGCAAAGAAAAAAAAAAAAAAAAAAAAAAAAAAGAGATTAAAAAAAGAGCTTGCGGATGGGTTTAAAATGCAAATGAGCATCTTGAAAGCCAAACGCAGCAGGAGCAGAGAGGAACTGTGTCCTCTGTTCCCTGTCCAAGCTGGAGAGGGATCCCCAGCAGGGATAAAAAGAAAATCTGGATGAAATCTGGGGTTGAGCATGCTGGGCAGAGCACGCAGCTTGGCAGAGAAGGAGAGGGAAGGAGTCTGCGTGGGTTTGGGGCTGCTCTGGGGGCTGGCAGCACGAGCCTGGTGCAATTCCAGAGGGAGAAGCCTGGCACCACACTCCCACAGCCCTGCCCCTCGTGAGACAGGACACTCCTCCCTGCCTCAGTTACCTGGGATTGATTCAGAGCCTTTTTTATCCCACTAAGTCGACGGCTCTCCAGGGAACAGCGGGAGCTCGGGGCTGCGCCACAGCTCTCTGCACCTCACTGCAGAGCCCGTCCTGCCAGGCTGGGAGGAAGGATGGAAGGAAGGAAAGAGGATTCACTGCAGTCCCTCGGATTCCAGGACCTGGCTCACACTCAGCCCTGCTCTGCAGAAGTGCCTGGAAAGCAAACCTGAAGCTGAGCAGGGAATTTGTGCAGGCAGCTCGCAGACACGAATCACGCCGGCCGCTTCCCTGCAGCTCCCTGCTCTCCCTCCCAGAGCCAGGGAAAGCACAGCCTGTGGTCTTCCCATCCACGACCCCACTGAAAAAACCCCACTGATTTCAGAGGCTGAGACATCCATCCATTCCCTCCCTCCTTCAAGCCCTGCAGCAACCCCAGGAAGGAAAGGAGCTCCTGCAGCTCGGGAATGAAGGCGCAGCCCTCGCTCCTCACACCAACACGACCTTCCCCAGGGCAGGAAGCACCCCAGGGCCCAGAGCAGGGTGATGAGGGGACCCAAAGAGCTGCCAAACCCCAGTGCTCAGCACCCTGCCCCCTGTGTGTCCCCCAGGCTGTGCCAGGGTGACAAGGCAGGGCTGGCTGCCAGCCGCAGGTGAATTCCCACAGCTCAGCCCTTGGGCAGGGGCCAGCGCTGCTGCCTGGCTCTGCTTTTAAGGATGCAGAGCTGGGAGAAGGTGTTTGCTCCCTCAGCTCCAGCAATTCCCACCCAGCTCCTTTCCACACTGATGTCCCAGTGAGAGGCTGAGTGGAGCAGCTCCTCACTCACAAAAAGCAAGCAGCAAAGCCAAGGGTACTGACCACCCCTGACCTCATGGTAGCTCACGTTTTACCCCATCTTCACACCAAACTTGTTTTAAGCTGGTCTGGCAAACAGGATTCAAGGGTTTAAGTGTCCATAAGGATTTGGAAGCTGCTGGAGAGGAGCACCCAGAGCCCCCCCCATAACCAGTTTGGGCTCCTCAGGACTGGTTTGTGGACAGGTTTTGGCAGTGGCACAAACCCAAAGCCTTTTATCCCTGATTTTGTTCACTCCAGGGGACTCAAATCCACAGCTCCACACACACCGGAGCACTGCTGCTCTACTGAGCCTCTCAAGCCCCCGGGTCAGGGACATGGCAGAGCTCAGACACCCCATTTTTCCCATTGCCAAGCCAGCAACTCCCAAATTCCACTACCTTGGGAAAACAAGAGGCTCCTAAACCCAAAATACAACAACAAACACATCCCTGGGCTCCCCACCGAGGTGGGTGCTGCCAGAGGGTCCTGGGAACAACACCAACACCAAATGAGCCACTGCTGGTGCCATTCATTTCCTCTTCTGGAGAGTGCAGGAAAACTCACTTCTTCTGCTACTTTTACTACCCTGTTTTAGGACAATTTCTCCATCCTTGAAGATGCTGCTGACCAAACTTTCACCATGGAATGGTTTGGGTGGAAAGGGACCTTAAAGCCCATCCAGTCCCACCCCCTGCCATGGGCAGGGACACCTCCCACTATCCCAGGCTGCTCCAAACCCTGTCCTGGAACACTTCCAGGGATCCAGGGGCAGCCACAGCTGCTCTGAGAATTCTATCCCACCTCTCACCTCTCTCCCAGGGAACAATTCCTAATTCCCAATGTCCCATCCATCCCTGCTTTCTGGCAGTGGGAGCCATTCCCTGTGTCCTGTCCCTCCATCCCTTGTCCCCAGTCCAGGGGAAAAGGGGGGGAAGAGGAAAGGAAAAGGGGGGGAAAAAGGGGGGAGAGGGAGGGAAGAGGGAGGGAAAAGGGGGGGAAAAGGAAGTTTCATCCCTGCACACACATTCCTGCTGCTCAGGGGGGACAGGCTGGCACCCAAAGCCAGGGAGAGCAGAAAGGAGCAGAACTCCAAGGACAAGCTCCTAGGAAAGGGCTCAGCTGGAAAGCAGAGGGGCAGCTGGAGGTTGGTGGGGAAAGGCAACTCCCACAAGCAAACACCTCAGCTGGCAGTGAAGCACCTGAGGGCCAAGGTGGCATAATTAGGGAAATTAAGGAAGACTACCAAATGAATGGGTAACTGGAGCCGTGGGGAATTGTGTTCCCTGCTGGTGTGAGGCAGCTCCAGGGCACTGCAGAGGCCAGGCAGGGGTGAGGTGGTGATGGGGAATTAGTAAAGGTAAGAAGGCTTCCAGAAAGCTGTAAAAGCAGGCCCCAGAAACAGAAAGAACAAAAAACTTAGAGCTAAGTTGTAGTTACAAAGTCTGAAAGGAGAGAAGTTATAATAGTACAGAAAGCAAGGGCATGAAACAATAACCTAAGTCTTAAGTTTGGCTAAGATAAACCTTCAGACTACAAGAAAATATGCTTAGCAAGATAGTAAAAGGTTTTAGACTTAATAATAATGTACTGTGTGTTATCAATAGAAAGAAGACAAGCAAACACTGTGTGAAACAAGTATACGTGTACTTTCAGTAATTAGCTAGAATAATTATCTATAAACTTTAGCAATATGCTATTAGCCAGAAGTTTTTTAAATATTCAGCAACAAAGAAATCATCAGCTGCTACTAGCTGTATATAAGCTTTACCATCTTCCTATTGTCTCAACCACATAATAAAGCTAATACTACAAATAAAACTCATTAAATGTACCCCAGCAGTCCCATCGCGATCATGAATGAAAAATAAAAATAAAACAAGCACACCAACACAGCTCTGAGCACATCCCTGCCCCATGGACAGACCCCAGGAGCTGGCACAAGCACCAGCAAGGGAGAGAAACACCCCAGGGTGCCAGAAGAGAGCCAGAGGCTGAGGATACACAACCCAACAGCTCCAGAGCCTCCTGCTGACCCCAGTTCTGTCCCTCCTTACAGCAGTGCTTCCCACCCTACAGCTACACCTCCTGTGCCTGTAGGATGGGAAACATCCTATCCATGTCCAAATCCCACAGCTCCCACCCCTGTGCACATCCCACAGCTCCCATCCCTCTGCAAATCCCACAGCTCCCACCCCTGTGCAAATCCCACAGCTCCCATCCCTGTGTGCTCATCCCATATCCCACAGCTCCCATCCCTGTGTGCTCATCCCATATCCCACAGCTCCCAGCCCTGGGCTCATCCCACCTCTGCCAGACCACCACAAACCCTCCCAGCAGCCCCACACACCTTCCCAGTGAGATCTTTTCCCCCTCTCTGGCCTAACTGGAGCCAGTCTTTGCTCCAGCTCGGCCTTGCAGCAGCTCAGGGCTGTGACTCTGCTGCATCCCAGCAGGACCATCCCCATCCTCTCACCAATCTTGTTTCTGACCAACCCATGGGCATTCCAAAAGGCTCCATCCCCACCAAGCAAGGGATAACTCGGATAACTCAGGGGTAGGAGCCAAACTCACCATGCCATCAGCATGGTGCCCAAAGCAAACCCAAAAAATCCTTGGCAGATCCAAAGCAGTGGCACCAGCAAGCAATACATCCCATCAACTAATAATTGGGGAATAAACTCAAGGAAAAAGCAAAAAGGACAATGCTGAGGTGTCCCCTGCAGCACACACTGCCAGGATCCCACAGCCACAGAGCCCAAAGCACCGTGCTCTGAGAGCTGGGGGCGTTTTTAATCACCTTGAACAGGGATGGCACCCACAGGGGCTCCCCAAACTCCAGCTGAGCGTCCTCAGGGACACCAAGGACTTTGTCCTGGCCACAGCATCAGGTTCCCGTGGCGGAGGGGATGTTCTCCTCCTGGGAAAGGAAGGTTCTGCAGGGTGGGAACCTCCTGCCTTGGAATTCCCAGCCTGGCTTGATCCAAGCAAGGCCCAACACCTCTGGAAAGCCCCTTGGGGTGCCAAAGCCTGTTCAGCCTGGCAGTCTGACCCCACAAATGGGTGTGGGAGCCACAAACCACATCAGTCCAACTGCTCATCCAAGGCTTAGCCCATTTTCTGTCACCCCAGGAGAGAGAAGACACAAAACCCCTCCTGAGTCCCAGTGCTGCTGGGGAAGGGACCCCTGACAGGTGCCAAAACTCCACACAAAACACCTGCAACAACAACAGCAACACCTCCAACACGGCTCCTTCAGGCTGGAGCTGTCTCACAGCTCCTTTTAATCCACTTTGGGGCTTTTCCCCCCAGAATCTCCATGGAGGAGGCAGCAAGCACAGGATATCAGCCCAGCTGCCTCCCCGTCTGCTCCACGCCCAGTTCCCAGCTTATTCCAGGCAGAGCCAAGACCTTTCCCTACAGGTGTGCCACATCCTGAGGGGGTGAAGGGCTCACCCTGTGTGCCCCAGCCCGTCCAGGGGTCCTGTCCCCAGCAAGTGGCCAGGACACGGGTGGTCCGTGCAGGACGGGCCGGGGGAGCAGCACTGGGACACGGAGCTGCTGCGGGGACAAGCGGGACACGGGACACAGCCCGGGGCAGGCAGCGGGCACGGGGGACCCCCGTGTGCCCCAGCCGGGCCAGGGACCAAGGGGACACAGCCCGGAGTGAGGAGGGGACCATGGGGCCACAGCCCAGAGTGGGGAAGGGACCAAGGGGACACAGCCCAGACTGGGGAGGGGACCATGGGAACACATCCCGGAGTGGGGAGGGGACCAAGGGGACACAGCCCGGAGTGGGGAGGGGACCATGGGGACACAGCCCTGGCTGGGAAAGGGACCATGGGGACACAGCCCAGAGTGATGAGGGGACCATGGGGACACAGCCCTGGCTGGGGAGGGGACCATGGGGACACAGCCTGGAGTGATGAGGGGACCATGGGGACACAGCCCTGGCTGGGGAGGGGACCATGGGGACACAGCCCAGAGTGATGAGGGGACCATGGGGACACAGCCCGGAGTGGGGAGGGGACCATGGGGACACAGCCCGGGCTGGGGAGGGGACCAAGGGGACACAGCCCAGACTGGGGAGGGGACCATGGGGACACAGCCCGGAGTGAGGAGGGGACCATGGGGCCACAGCCCAGAGTGGGGAAGGGACCAAGGGGACACAGCCCGGGCTGGGAAGGGGACCATGGGGACACAGCCTGGAGTGGGGAGGGGACATTGCGGACAGAGTTCAGGACGCGGGGTCAGGACGCAGACACGGCCCGGGGCGAGGCGGAGGCCGAGCCGGGGCTCACAGCGGGGTCACAGCGGGACACCGCCGGTCCCGGAGGGGCACCGGGGGGCACAGCTCAGGTCGGGGGTCGGGAGGGGCCCGGGCCCCGCGGGGAGCCCGTCCCGGGGCCGCACGGGCAGAGCTCCGGGGAGGAGCCCGGGGCAGGAGCGGCTGCGGGGCCCGGCTCTGCCCCGGCCCGGCCCGGGCTGCTCTGCCCCGGCCCGTACCCGCTCTGCCCGGCCCGGCGCGGTCCGTACCTGCTCCGGCCGCTCCGTACCCGCCGCCGCCGCCGCCGGAACTGAGGAGCGGGGAGCGCTTCCGGGGCGGGGCGGGGCCACGGCGGGAGGGCGGGGCGGGAATGGGGAACCGGGATGGGAACCGGGATGGGGACAGGGATGGGACAGGGAATGGGGACAGGGATGAGGACAGGGATGGGAACAGGGAACGGGGACAGGGATGGGGACAGGGAATGGGGACAGGGAATGGGACAGGGATGGGGACAGGGATGGGGACAGGGAATGGGAACCGGGATGGGGACAGCGATCGGGATCAGGGAATGGGGACAGGGAACGGAACAGGGATGGGAAAAGGGAATGGGACAGGGATGGGGACAGGGACAGGGACAGGGATGGGGAACAGGGATGGGGACAGGGAATGGGACAGGGATGGGGACAGGGACAGGGATGGGGAACAGGGATGGGGACAGCAATCGGGAACAGGGAATGGGGACGGGGAACAGGAACAGGGATGGGGACAGGGGAGGGGAACAGGGAGTAGGGACAGGGAAAGGGAATAGGGGAGGGGGACAGGGAACAGGGACAGGCGGTAGGGATAGGGATATGGGATGAGGACATGGGACGGGTACATGGGATGGGAACGGGGGATAGGGGATGGAGACATGGGATGGGGATAAGGGACAGGGACATGGCATGAGGATATGGGACAGGGACATGGGATGGGGACAGGAATTGGGACAGAGGATGGGGTCATGGGATGAGGACATGGATGGGGACACAGGATAGGGACAGGGTTAGAGACGGGATGGAGACATGGGGTGGGAACATGGGATGGAGCAGAGACATACGGGGGACAGGGGTTGGGATGGACACGGGGAAAAGGGCTTGGATACAGGGCTTGGAACGGGATCACACGGGGTGTGGGGGACAGGGTGACACCCTCCACAGGCTGTGTCCCCCTGCTCCGCCGGGTGTCCCCAGGGCAGGAAGGGCCCTCTGGGGCAGTCCCCGTGGCCGGCCAGCGGCGGTGCCCGCGGGAGCAGGGCGGGCTCGGGGGCGCCCAGGGCCGGCTGTCCCGTGTCCCCAGCGCCTCCCGGGGATGTGTCCCCAGCGGCCCGGCCGAGCCCGCTCCTCCTGGCTGCTCCCGGCCCTGCCTCCATGGCTTCCGTGGGATGAGGGACGGCGTGGGACCTGCTCCCACCCGGGACAGCAGGGCTGCTCCGGGAGCCAGGGAGCGTGTGCTGATTGGCTGGGATCTGTGCTCCTGCATGCTGATTGGCTGGGATCTATGGACCCGTGTGCTGATTGGCTGGGATCTATGGACCCGTGTGCTGACTGGCTGGGATCTAGGGACCCCTGTGCTGATTCACTGGGATCTGTGCTCCTGCAGGCTGATTGGCTGGGATCTATGGACCCGTGTGCTGATTGGCTGGGATCTGTGCTCCTGCATGCTGATTGGCTGGGATATATGGACTTGCATGCTGATTGGCTGGGAATCTGTGCTCCTGTGTGCTGATTGGCTGGGATCTAAGGACCCGTGTGCTGATTCACTGGGAATCTGTGCTCCTGCCTGCTGATTGGCTGAGCTGTCAGTACCTGCCTACATCTTGATGTCTGTGTGTGCTGATTGGCTGGGTGGGCTGTGACTGCTGATTGGCCACTGGCCCATATGGGCTGACTGGCCGAGGTGTCTGTGAGTGCTGATTGGCTGGATGGTACCCAAGTGCTGATTGGTTGAATGATACCCGAGTGCTGATTGGCTGGATGGTACCCAAGTGCTGATTGGCTGGATGGCACCCGAGTGCTGATTGGCTGGGTGGTACCCGAGTGCTGATTGGTTGAATGATACCCGAGTGCTGATTGGTTGGGTGGCCCGTGCATGGCCCGGTCCCAAGGGCAGGTTTTGGGGGTCACATCCCCCCCACCCCATCCCTGTCTCCATCCCCTTCCCCATCCCCATCCCAGCCGGGATGGCAGCCATGAGCCTCCCATCCCTCCCTGCATCCCGCAGGGTGTCCCCTGTCCCCTCAGGGGACCCTCCCGGCAGCCCCCCCAGCCAGCAGGAGCCCATCTCCCCCAGCCCCAGTCAGTGCCTGACCCCGGGGGGACACCAAGTGACGGCCACACCCCAGGGTCGCTGCCCCACCCATGGAGGAGCTGTCTGCGCCACCCGAGGGTCCCCCCTTTCCCCTTCACACTGGGGTGGGTTCCTGCTCTGCACTGGGTGGTCCCAGCTCCCTCCCCAGGGTCCCGTTCTCTATTCGTGGGGACCCCACTCTATTCCCAGGTGTTCCTCTCTCTGCCCGGGGGGTTCACGGTCACACCAGGAGGTCCCCACTCCCTCTCCAGGGGGTCCTGGCCCTGTGCTCCAGGGTCCCACCCTCCATTCCTCTTATCCCGCTCTCTGCTCGGAGGGTCCCTTCTCTCTTCAGGGCACTCCTCTTCCCACGAGGTCTTCACTCTGTCCTGGGGTGTCCCTGCTCCTTTCCCGGGGCTCCCATTCTTTATTCCCAGTGCTCCTGCTCCCTGCCCGGGGGATGTGTTCTCCCTTGAGCAGCTCCCTCCTCCCTTCCCAGGGCTCCCACTCTCTATTCCCGGGGGTCCCGCTGTCTGCCCGGGGGCACTCTCCGCTCCCTTCCCGGTGGTGTTTCCTGCTCCCGGGATCCCGCTGTGCCCGGTGTCCCCGTTCTCCCGCCGGGGGACAATCCGCTCCTTTCTGCTGCGGCTCCCGCTCCCCACCTGGGCGTGGCAGCCGGGTCCCCCCGCACCGCGGGGCTGCGGCGGCGGCGCGGGGCGGTGCCGGTGCCGGTGCCGGTGCCCACCCCCGCTGCCGGTGGCGGGGCGGAGCGGCCGCCCCGAGCGCTATAAAAGCGGGCGGCCGCGCCGGTGCCGCAGCGAGGGCGGGGGTCGCCATGAGCCTGATGCTGGAGACGCTGCTGGGCCCCCCGGGGGGGCTCCGCAAGGAGCCGGGCCGCGCTGCCCCGCGCTCCGCCGCCTCCAGCGGCTTCTACTCGTGGCCGGCCCCGGCGGTGGGACGGGCGCGGGGCGCGGGGGGCGGCGGCGGCAGCGCGGCCGCGTCCTCCACCGAGAGCCTGGACTCGCTGAACGGCGAACCGCGGGCGCGCAACGAGAAGGAGCTGCTGCAGGTGCTGAACGACCGCTTCGCCGGCTACATCGAGCGGGTGCGGGCGCTGGAGCAGCAGAACCGGGCGCTGGCGGCCGAGGCGGCGGCGCTGCGGCAGCAGCAGGCGGGGCGCTCGGCCATGGGCGAGCTGTACGCGCGGGAGCTGCGGGACATGCGGGGCACCGTGCTGCGCCTGGGCGCCGAGAAGGGCCAGCTGCGGCTGGAGCGGGCGCGCCTGGCCGAGGACGTGGCGGCGCTGCGGGGGAGGCTGGAGGACGAGGCTCGGCAGCGCTCGGAGCTGGAGGCGGCGGCCCGCGGGCTGGCGCAGCGCTCGGCGCAGGAGGAGCGGGCGCGGGCGCCGCTGGAGGAGCGAGCCCGGGCGCTGCGGGAGGAGGCGGAGCAGCTGCGGCGGCAGCACCGCGCCGAGGTGGGAGCGCTGCTGCGCGGGGCGCGCCCCGAGCTGCCCGCCGAGCCGCCCGCCTCGCTGCGCCCCGGCGTCACCGCCGCGCTCCGCGACCTGCGCGCACAGCTGGAGGGCACGGCGGCCCGCAGCACCCTGCAGGCCGAGGAGTGGTTCCGCGGTGAGTGCCGGGCTGCGGCCGCCGGACAGCCTCCCCGGGGCAGCCCGGGCTGCCGCGCTCCGGGATGGGGGTGGAGCAAAGGAGGCCCGAGGGATGCGGGGACCCCACCCCGCTCTCTGTGTCGTGTTAGAGTGCCCGACCCCGGGAGGTGCAGGGACCCCTCCCACCTCTACCGTGCTCCTGGAGGGTGTTGGGATACCCAGCCCCATATACTGTGCTCGGGGAGGGCGTTAGTGTCCCCCAACCCCAGCAGTGTGCGGGGACCTCCCGTACCCCCAGCACCCTTCAGGGTGACCCCATCCCTGCCACCAGAGCCCCAGTGCCTGCGCTGCCCGACTCCCCTCTGCCCCGCAGTGAGTTTCGAGGAGGGTTCCAGGATCACTGGCCCGGCCCCCCGCAAGTTTTTGGGGTGCCGGGCCCCCCTGACTCTGCAGGGTGCTGTGCTGGTCCCTCTGAGCCGGGGCGAGGCCAGGGGTGTTTGCAGCGCTGGGGGGAGGGAGGCGGTACCGCATCCCTGCCGCGGGAGGGGAGGACAGGGAGTGGCTCTTTTGGGGACCGGGGGAACACTCCGGTGCTGGGGGGGGCGTGGGTGGGGTCGGCACCCCAGGCTGAGCCCCCGGCAGCGCAGGGCCGGTCCAGCACCGCGGACAGCGGCGGTTCAGCACCGCGGACAGCGGCGGCGCCGCCCCGGGGCGCCCGTCCCGCGGGGCGGGGGCTGCCCCGGGAGCCGCAGGATCGCTGCTCCCCATTCCTGTCCCCTCATTCTGTGCCACCCCCGTCCCCTCGGGTGTCCGCAGGGCGCTGCGGTAAAACCCCCCCGCCCCGGGGCCAGGGTTGGCGTGTCTGGGATGGGGGGCAGCGCCGTGGGGCAGGGGGCTGTGGCACAGCTGAAGGGGAGGCGGGGCCTGCAGCGAGGATCTGCCCTGGCTGAAGTCCAGGATGGCGGAAACACGCCCGAGCTCGTCTTGCCCGTCCTCCTTCACTTCCCGGCAGAGATGGAGCGAGGGGTGGGGAAGGCAGAGCGCTCAGGGAGCTGGGGCGGCTCTGCAGAGGACAGGGATGTGTGGCACGGACAGGCTTGAGTTTCCCCAGGGAGGGGAGGCTGCAGCCTCCTTCCCTCCCGCCCTGCAGCTTCCCTTTTCCATTGCAGTGAGGCTGGACAAGCTCTCGGAGGTGGCCAAGGTGAACACGGACGCCATGCGCCTGGCCCAGGAGGAGATCTCCGAGTACCGCCGGCAGCTCCAGGCCAAGACCACCGAGCTGGAAGCCCTCAAAGGGACCCAGGAGTCGCTGGAGAGGCAGAGGCAGGACTCGGAGGAGCGCCACCATGCAGATGTCCTGTCCTACCAGGTGCCGTGGCGCAGTGGGCAGCGGCCCAGGC